TTCAAGATACTCCCTTAAAGAAAGCTGCTCGTGAGGGTACAACTGACGACCACTTGCCTCCCTGGCGCTTATTTGGTCGGCATAGTCCTCAAATTTCCGACGACTTTAGTCGGATGTCAGACCTTATTCAAAGGGCGAAATACATTTTGTTTACAAATTCATATAATGCTATCTGGTGCACCTTCATGCAGCGCAATCGGTTGAGCAATACCGTAAACGGGATATTGCAGTTAAGCTTTCGTTGAGTTTTTCGTCAACATCAGCTTGTAGCACAAATTGGTGCAATCCACTAAATGAGTATTTATCAGCATCCAAGTGGAAAATAGAGTTGACGGAAACTCGATGATCGTGCTCACCTGATGGTTCCCAGGGACACCGGTGATGGGCTGTCGAAGAACATTCAGTAATCTAAATAGTGTCACTACATGAAAATATAACTCGAAAATCTCGTGTCGTGATGTAGCAGTAAATTAAATTAAAGGATGTCTCGAACAAAAGACTCATCTGGGAATTCAATTAGTCTATATTTAGCGCCAAACTAGCTGGCAAATTTTGCCATTTTTTGTTACACATCCAGACGGCTTCCTGGGTTCCTCACTATGTTCAGCGCTGGCATTTAACAAAGCAGACTTTGATGGAAATGACCACCTTGGTAGCTGCTTTTTGGTTGCCATCCAAAAACGGGAAATAGTCCGCATTCGTTTCTTAAAACAGCAACTTTAGAGAGGAAGGATTCCACCTCCTACTCTTCCACTCAGCCAGCTGTTACTTTGGAATCCAGGAATCACTTTAGCTCTCAACTTGCACCACGAAACGCTTACATCTATATTCGATAACTGCCCAGGTGTGTCGAATTTTAATTACTAATGGCGTGTCCGAAAGGGGAAACCCAGTTTGAATGTGAGGACGATTTGCTAGCAGACGATTATTCAGTAGTTGCCTTCCAACTGAATTTCAGCTTTTTTGCGCCGTCGGCGGAGATGCCGTACTGTGCCGCAGCCAACTTCAGAACCTTGCTGGACGTCTCAGTAGGCAACAATACACACACGTATATTTACCGCTGTTTATGCCGTTACATTTGCATAACATAGATCACGAAGACAGAATTCACCATGCAGTGGTTTTCATTCGGGGACTACCAGCTAGTGGGAATCATGGAAACAACGGACCACAAAATTCTGAAGACTAACTGCTGAACTGCTAAAAGTTGGTTGGAGTTTGGGTCATTTGACACTGGTCTTTACCATTTTCCCGTTATTCCACACTATCCAGTCTATTCTATGAGTGACGTTAGGTAGGTGATCAGAGCGCAGGTGTTAACATGTCAAGGGGCTAATAACTGAACTTATGATCCAAAAAAGGTTTAAACTTTGCGAAAATTACTGATCGCCCTTCGCACGCATGCAATCAGTCTCCCATTGTTTTTCCTTGCATAGTCGTCCCGGAATTGTTCGCTATGGCATAGAATGGCATAAAATTGCACAGAATGAAGTTAGGATACGTGGACCGACAAGCTATTCAGCTTTGAGCTATGCTGCTTGCCTTTTTCAGGTTAGATTGTGTTGTTTTGTTCGTGTGGCATCACTTTATACGCCCTTTTTCTGTCTGTTATCATCTTATTGTTTGTGGCGTCCCTCACCAGATCTAACATGGCAGCTTGATTGACTTTTTGGTCTAGACCTAGCTGGTGTCTTCTAAGAAGAACGAAATGGGATCAGACTGTCTTATCGGTACTGGCGTGGTGATCGTTGATAGCAGGCTAGTTGTTGTGTGAGTAAGGCGAAACAGAGCCTCGTGTCAGTTTTAGCACTTCCAGCAGTGCACGATTATGCGCTTCAATGCAGCAGACCATCTATATCCCTGAAGTTTTCGGAAACATAAGCGAGAGAAGCCTCTCAATTGATGTCGCTTGTAGAGCTCTGTTTAACTTTTCAACTGTCTTGTTAATGCACACAATGCAGTCTGCGTCAGGAAATTAGCCACTCATATTGATTACTGTAAAGTCTTTTGTGGTTTATTAGTACAAATACTTCCCCGTTAGCCTTCTCGGAAGTAGGGGTAAAATCTGCTCCTCTGACTTTTAGGTGTGCCCTCTAGGTAACAGCAAGAATCTTGCATTTTCTATATCAAAACAAGACGATACGAACTTTGTTGTGTTCATTAGAGTAATCCATATTTTTCAAAGACTTGCCACCACCCTTTGTTTTTCCATTTTTGAACGTATTTCGACATCTTTTCTAATGTCCTAATTTCACCAGTATTAGGCTGTTCAAGTCCACGAGTTGTCCCGACAAGCTATGTGAAGTGCTTGCAAAGTGTCGATGGACAATCAGTTTTGCGAATCACCTGTAGAGGTCTGGGAGCGCTGGTGATGTTAATAGAGCTCCTAGGATCGGTTCCTTGAACGAGTTTCTTGGCAGAACCCTCACCTTAGTTTTGCCGTCTTGTAGCTGTTGCCCCTACTAAGTAATAATATATGACAGTGACAGTTTACTGAAAATGAACCGAATCTCCTGCAGGGCCATTTGCATGCATGAGACAGAAAACTGGAAGATGTTGCTTAAATAATAACACCGTGCACTATTCTGTATTGACTAGATAAGATTGTGGCAAGTAATTTTTGCATGAGACTATGTGGAGAATGATTTCACTGAGTCTCATCCGCATCTTTCAATCCAGGAGAATGTTTACTAGCCATGCGTGGGCGCCGACCGCCCTTCCCTGATATCCTTCTCAGTTCCGTTACATTTCACATCAGTGGTTGTTTTAACCGTCGTTCGCTGCATACCGTATGTAGTTCCTAACAGGGGTCACGCCGTCTACCCTCCACATGTGATCCCCAACTTGTGCCTGAAAATACAATCCAATTCATTTTGGTGGTAGTTCCTCTCATGTCATTTTATGTCATGTCATTTATAATAGGCTGTCAGTGGGTTCTCATTGTTCAATGGAAACCGGACAGGCAGGTAACTGATATCCTCAACAGGTTCCATATCACACTGTGCATTCAATGAGTTCTAAATTTTTGTAGTATGGATTTTTGTATGTGCAAGCACTGTTTGCCACGGTTCTAAATAATGATGGCTTGAGCGCAAGTAGATATTCAGGTATAACATCCCCTCACATATCATAGTTGCCAGCTGATCACTGCGGACGGTGTAATACCCGAGTAAAGCGATAAATTTATCGCTGATTTCGGGAGTAAATCATGTCTTAGTGAAAGGAAGTGGGTCATGTCCATCCATCTATCCGATAGTCTTAGCAGACTTATTTCCTCTATAGCAAAGTTTCTTCTAAACAAAATTACGTCCTTATAATTGTGCTTTTATTCGTCACCATACGAGGAGACCTCATCAGTGCAAGGACTGCGACAAACGGTATGCAGGACAAACAGGGAGGAAGCTCGCCACTAGAAGACACGATTAATTCTCCCTCATCTGCGCTTTGTTCGGCCATATTAGGACCAGCTGTTAATTTTGCCGAAAATCCACTGTCACAGTACTTTTGCTTTCCCCTGAAGGGCTATTTCTCCTTTTATTTGGCTTCTGTGTATAAATTCTCCACTATATTAATAGAACTGTTGCGGAGTCAGTATGGTGGGCCAGAGGCTCGTTCAGAGTCGCTGGAGGTAAGCCCACTTGTGATATTTTGTTGTGCATGGCGTTCAATTTGTCGTTCAACTGGGCGTTGTAAGGTACAGTTAACCATTACGTATCCGCATGCTATGGCGTGGGCCATGTAATCGGGTCTACGCCAGCAAGTCACAAAGACAAACATTTTCGGTGTCAATTCTTCATTGAAGTCGAGAAAGTAGTTTCAAACATTATAACTGCCCTAAACGATATTTGAGACCATAATATGGCTTGACCATCATCGTCGTCATTTGCGAGCCGTATGTTAGTTGTTTCAGCTGCCAAATCATTCTCATTGAACTTTATTGCCATTCGCGGAAATCATCTGGTTTCCTTGGGTTTGGATGACAAAGTCTGGAATCCTGACCGTTAATTTACACTCCCCATGATGACGAACATCATGAACGAGAGACTCGGCTGGGTTCTAGATGAGTATCCCGCCAAAACTAAATTGATATGCAAATGAGTGCATTTTGCTAATAAGGTTACGAAGTTTCCCAGTGTTTATGCCGAATTACCACGGCTAGTCAAAACGTTTTTAACTGGTCCTGCATTAAGATCACATAGGAAAGATCTTTGATCGCGATTAGTTGTTCGATAGGGCGGTTCCACTGGTTGCCCCGGTTCCTTTGTCCCCGTTCGCTGATGCCCACGCGACCTTTGAGCTTGGCATCCCCTACCGTCGTAAACCAGTCGATGCTGGAGTGACCTCTGTCCTTTCGAGTATCGGCTTGTGACCTTTATTGAGTTGACTCCAATCTGGAAAACGCAAAAAAAACATTTCGCCATGCGGAGACACGAGACACGGAAGAAAATTTCTGGAAGAATGGTACTCCATGGCAGATTTGGTAAACCAGTGCATCAAACTGGATCCAATTTACGCACCCCCACTTCCAAAGGCCAACATCTCAACCGGAAAACTCAAGGAGGACCGAATATTGGATTCACAGACAAAGAGAGAAGGAACTCCTCGGAGTCAAATCAATAAAGGTCACAAGCCGGACTCGAAAGGACAGAGGTCACTCCAGCATCGACCGGATTACGACGGCGAACGGGGACACAGGACAACGGAGCAAGTAATGGAACCGCCCGACCGAACAATTAATCGTGATCAAAGGTCTCCCCCTGGTAGCATCACATATATCAATACACGCGTAACACTATTCAACGCGCAACCACCAACCCACCGCTACGCACCACTACGCTTCCCGACAGCGCACCAAAGGTGTCACCTCGATTGGTGATGGAACGTTTGCAATCAAATTGCCCAGCTCAGCGAACAGGTCAACAACCATCTACGCTACCTGAACTACCAACATTTCTTTCTATAGAAAACATAAGGAAGACCCGTCGCATTTTTTTGAAAACATGCAATATGCGAGCTACCTTGGAAGTCACTTCCAAACTGGTTATAAATACCGTCCACAGGGTTCGTTCGCTTATTACATGAAATAAAGTTTTCTATCAGTCTTGTACAGTTGCACGGTCTTATTTCCATCTACGTCACTGCTACCTCAACTGTGGAGGAATAGGACAAGCCATCAGCACAGTTATCCATATAAATAAAAAAATCAGTAAAAACATAACAAGTTAATAAGTTAAGTTTAACCATGCCGTAAGCTATTCTTCTGGAAACCATGGAAGCACTTTTCCGGTTTAGCTCGCAAATTAGCCATTGCTTTGTCGGCCCCAGTGCTTTAATGGGTGTTCCTACAGGGTACCACCCATTCAAAGTCTATTTCACCCAAAATTTCACAAACGCTCCAAGAATCCATACCGACTAGATAAAAGTTTCTGAGCTTGGTAATGCAAGAAGGTGACCTTTAGCTCTTAGAAGCTCGTTTATCAATGCAAGCAGCACAAAGTGCCGATAATTTCGGTAACCTTCAGAAAATCGGTGCTGGGTTTGTGCACCTTACAACTTTTACTGTTCTGTTTAACAGCTGAACTTTATTTACCCAAACGTCACAAAGTCGTAAAAAATCTATGCCACTGGTTACTCTCCACCCGATTTTTCACGCTTGTAATTAGAAATCTGTCTAAAAACATATTAAAACTATACTGAAAATTAAAAATGAGAGTGATTAAAACGGCCTTGAAAAGTTGGTCGACAGATTTAAGGAACCGTACTAGGATTGCGCGTTTTATTCGCTTTTAATTAATTAATTAGTTATTCAGCTACAGTTTTTCCAATGTGCGTATCTGCAACCATAGAATTACAGTGAAGGAAGACAGAATCTCATCTCAATAAACAACCCACAAAATGAAGTAGTTTTTCTGGACCATTTGGTTTTGGTAGCCGCAAACTATTAAGAGGTTACTGTGGTCAATCTTCACTTGTGCAAGCAAAGGTGTGGACATCAAGCTGAACAAAACACGCGATCACTCCTGGTGAACTGATGCGTGCAGTTCGGATGAACAAGACAAACCGTCGACAGACAATGGGGCAGATAATGAGAATTGCTCATTTTCACAGGTAAAATTGCTTGTAGGTTCGTTTGATTCTCACTTAGACACTGGTCTGTAAACTTGGTTAAAATAGTATCATTTAGTAAGCATTCGATGTAACTTCCGCTACTAGGATGTCACATGGCTCTATTGTGACCCAAGTGTAACTTTCTCTTCAGCTGTCAAATGTTGCAGCACTCTCCAAGAAGACCTAGCACACATGTATTCACAGAAACTTCATTAGACTCAGAAACACGGACTAATTTTCATTTGAACTGCAGTGCTGTATTCGAATGTCACGAAACAAATACGCTCAGGTTATATCCAAACAACGCATCAACTTTGAGCTAGATGTATCAACTGAGTATGACTTCGGCACACTTTCTCCGTTGGTGGAAAGTCTAAACATTGCGCATTTTGTGAAAAGTGCTTGTAGAATTTTCCAAAATGCCCCGACGTGGTTTTTACGGCTCACCTAAAATAGCATCGTCCCTGGACGGATGATCAGAAAAGCTTCACGGAATCAACTTTGGAAACATAATCACACGATCGCTCCTTGCTTGGTTCCAGCAGGCATCTAAGACGACCACCAGAAGTTCTTTCAGTGGAGTATTATGGACCATTATCGTGTAGCACTTAAGGATCTTACAAAAGTGTGTTTCCCTAAAACCCGTAACCAACATTTCTTGAAGGGAAAGAAAACTGCCATTAGGAAATGTGTGGCTGAGTACAGATTAGCCTCAACTACGACTTTTTGAACAACTCTCTTGGACCTTTATTTACCGCCCAATGCGTAGTGGCTGTATAGGGTTTAATCAGTCCTAACCAGTTTAGTTTAATCCATCGGTCTTCATTTACTTTTGTCGCGTAATTTCGAATGAGCCTGAATAGATACATCGAGCACAGTACCCCTATAGGAAATAACGTGAAGCAGGAGGGTAATTCTCAAAAGTATATATTTTGTTTTTCTGTACAAAGATGTATGACGTAATGTCGTGCCATAATACCGACATGTTCAAAAGTATACTTTCGAAATTGCCCTGAAAACAGGGGCAATCCACGATTAGTTGTGCCATTAGGCGTCCGCAACGCATCTGGGCTTGCCACACCGAAGTAAGCCCGGTGCATTAGTAGCAGCAGAAATTGTCCCAATGTGCACTGAAACTCCAACCCCTTGATCTAGGAACATAAAAGCAAAGGCGTGAAAGTGCCACCAAGGGCATTTCCAAAGCTTAGCATGCCATCAAGCATTGAACGTGTACACGCACTCGAAGTAAAGTAGTTCACTGTCCTCGGTGTGGCATAAACTGACCTGGCCTGTTCGCCTCACTAAGCTCAGTAAAAACGTTACATGAATTAGAGTTGCTTGAGTCGATGACAAACGGATACTAGCATGCAATGTGTTTCTACGCAACTTTTGATAAACAGAATAGCATTGGCGACAGACAATACAGGAATGCATTAGCACTGCTGTTTTTATTGTTATAAGAGCAAACGAGCGCGAGCATTTGCTCATGAAATTGGTCAAAAGATTTCGATATCAGTATCCAACGGTAAGCCCTATTCGTTAGCGTCACGGCAAAATCCTCTGATTGCAATCACACAAGCTAACACTCCAAGAGTAGTAGAGTATGAAGCTAGCCTTTTGGGTTTTGTCCGTGGCATCCCCAGCGTGGTTTCAAGGTGATTTTGTCCGGTGTAGCGAAAATTCCCTTCATCTAATCTTGTTATCTCCTGTTTCCTGGAATATTCAGAAAAATAAACCCTTGAGTGGAAATCAACCACACTCAATAAATCTGTGACCAAACTGCTCTAGTCGGACAACTGCACAGTTGACACTTGTCTAGATAATTGGCTAGTTTCCGCGCCTAGTAGTTTCCAGCCATTTAGATTCGGCCACTCTGCGTTCATTAGTCGGATAAGAAATACTGTCACAACGTATTATTTTTCAAAAGATAACCAGTCGAAAATGTTGGACTTCTTATGTAGACGAAATCTTTGTGCCCATGGAACTGCACAGGTGATCCCTGCTTTTTAATGTTTAGTCTTTCCACACTTCCAGTACCCTCAGGTTCACTGACTAGAACCAATGAAGAAACCAAAAAATACTCTGTTGTCAGGATAATTGATTTTCCTGAAGTCGGCGTAGCAACCTCAGCTGCGCTTGTTGACGCTGACATGTCAGTATTACTTACGCGACCGTTCTTTGTGACACTAAGATAGAGACGTATGTATGCTCTAATAGAGATTCGGTTATCTTATGGGTAAGAAAACTTGTGAATGTTAGTTCATCTTAGATTGACTGCAAAGTTTAGACGGTGAACATAGCTCCGGTAGTGTGTTCGAATGTTGGTAGCTCAGATGCTTTCATTGGTAGCTGGTTAGTTGGTTGTTGTTCTGTTTACCAAGCTTGACTGTTGACTTGCTAGCGTTTCGTCATCACTCGAGGAGGCATCGTAAACGCACTGAAATCAACGGTGCACTGGTGTTATCTCCTCGAACAGTACCGGAACGTCTGCGAATCAACTACCACATTCGGTGAGCAGATCAATGAATACTTCGTCAAACGTAGCTCCAAAGCTTCCGATATACTTTTTGTGAACTTGGTTTGAAGAATCTAAGTTCTCTAAGCCATGATTGATCATTCATCTGTTAATCTAGCAATAGTTTGCGTACCTGTTATGAGTGCAGCTTGACCAAAGTCATAATTACGAGAACAGCAGGGCTTCGCATGTCTTAACATCCCCTTTGATCTGCTTCACACACACTTTGAAAAGCATACAGATGACAAACGAAGCCAGGGTAGAAATTGCTTCGGAATTTGAAAACCAGCCAAATGTCTTCACTTTTGAGGTTTTTCATCTGGTCTTTTGAGATCGTAACCCAGCCGGGTATGTTTACCGTAGTATGAAGCTCAGTTTATTTGGCTTTCTTTTCTTCAACTATAAAAAGTCTTCCATTTTGTCAGTAGAAACAGCCAATCTTCGATCAGCTGTAGTACTCTTTCGGTCTCGAGCTGCCATGCTACCCGAAAAAAGCACGAGGGCTGATATACTGCGAGGTGACCAAGCTTAAACAGGGAAGTCGAGACGCAGGGGTTGGGTTCGAACCACGGACCTTGCAGTCAGTATATTCGCGCTCTAACCACCAAGGCAATCTTAGAAACTGGGGACGCCAGAACAGTTGGGCTGTTAACCGGTGTAACGCGACGCTGGTATAAGAAAGCTGCAAACATTGAGAAAAACCCTATCGACCTTTATGAATGTGACATGTAAGTCTAACAATTTAATTTGTCCAAAATTGTATCCATTTAGCAAGTTAACATGGACATTCATGTTCATTCTCATCCCAGTACATTTATATGCTCATCAACGAGCCTCGCTCAATACTTTTTCTTTCATATTTTATCCTAATTATGGGTAAATTTATTGCCCTGTAAAACCGGACACTCAAATACGTAAAAAAATACTTCGTGTATTTCTTGTGACATTTCGTCGTTATAAACATCATCATTATCATAAAAAGCGGACGCAATGCGTTTCTAGCCAATAATGGTATGGTTGATTAACGCTTCCGTCGCCAAATCCAGACAAAACATTTTTGGAGACGTTTTTTGCTAGTAATTTGGCGTATTTCAAAGTCGGAAACATCTCAAAGATCTAAGCAAACAATTTTAAGCACATCTATCTCAGCCAGGTTGATCATCCACTACTTGCCCGTATCGATTTGAACTTATATGGATCTCGATCACGTTCACATGGTTTGGCAAACTTTGATGAGTTCGCCCAAGGTACTGAAAACCTAATGAGTATTAGTCTAAACTGATGAACCATTTCCCGTAAAAATTAGCCCATCATACTTTCATTCTAATAAGGAATATGTCATCCAGTAGCAAAAGTTCTTTGATTCTTGCTTTTTGGTGACCAAACGCAAGTGGTTTGATTATATTGATCTCCAGTTCCGCTATAAAGTTTTATCGAT